TAATGTCGCATTTATCTTTTAACCATCTTCAAAATGATGTTGTCTTTTCAACATAGATATGCTATATGTGCTAGGTTCATCCAAGTACAGGAAAGGCTGAGGTTATTGGAGCACAGAGCAAAAATGGTTGGGACTCAGGACTCAATTAAGGGACTGTTCGATTTAGAGCCTTTCCTGTACGCCAACATGCACAATAGCAGGACACTGACTCTGTTTGACTTGAATGGAACCAATCATTGCTAAAACCTGCGTTTACCCCAAGATTTTATATCAAAATGGCTGCTGTGAAAAAGGTCCATTAGTTTCAACTTAAATATGATGAAAACTGACAAAAATTTTGCTAGTGATGCAATATTTGCCTACACAGTATTTGATCTGTATATATTTTAATCCTTCACTGGGAAACCTCCCACCAATGACACATCGGAATCACTGGTGGTTTTATTCTACTGCTCACTGAACTGTAGGCATCTGAAAATCCAGAAAATTCAGGTAGAGATAACAAGAAATTTAGACATGCAGGACAAACTATTCTTTATGAAACCTGAAGAACCTGTTTTTGTGTTTTTAATCAAGCATTGTTGGTTTGCATACTCTCTGGATTCTCTGTTGCTTTAGAATTCAGAGGATACCATGCATTTCCTATCCCCCTTTCCCCTTTAGCTTGTTTTCACTTCACTAACGCTTTGTCTTTCTCTGGTAAGGCATGCACAAATCAAAGTGGACATTTCCACAGCATGCCTTGACGAGTCTAAAGTTACTCAATTGGTTGTACTTTCCATTAAGTTTTTTTGTCAGAAAAGAGTTTGGTCTTTAATCCTTGAAGAGATCTGCTAATGCTGTTTTTTTTATGACACCCAGCATGTAATTCAGCTGAAACATGAAATATTTCCATGCACACCTACTGATCAGAGAATACAAGCTCATTTTGCAAAGACCTAAAGAGATTGTCATTATCATTTCATCATCTAACGTGATTGACATTCAGCTTTTAACCTTGAGCACCAAATGCTTGCAGTAATTGACATTTTAGTCATTTATAAATACTCAGAGGTAGTTTCTCATCTTTAGAAGAGATGATTGTTGGAGAGTATTAAGAGATCAAAACCACCTGGAAACTTATGAAAACAAACATAATAGACAATTTTTTTTTGTTTAGTTTAGTGAAATTAAAATGACATTTTAGTGATAAATCAGTACCTACTGCATACACTGTGTGTTTACTTTGACGTTTTGTGAAAAAAGTTTTATTTATTTTACTTTAGCACTCAGCCATGATGTACTGGCTGAGGTTACAGGACTACCCAGTGCTGTGGGTTTTGATAGTCATTTGCCATTGCCTCATCTGGCCCATGAAAGAGAGAAAACTAATGCTAACTAGACCGCACTCTTTGTATAATGTGGAACTAAAATAACACTAAGCGGGCATTCAAAACTAAAATATTGTACTACTTAAGGTCCCAATGACACAATGAAATATGATCCAGGAAGTTCAGTCTGTTGACTGTAATGTAAACAGTAAAAGTATCAAGTACAGTAATTTACCAGGAATGTGAGCTGACGTATTTGATTGACTAACACAGTGCCTTGCTGGACGAGGTGGCGTTGCATTTAGGGTTCAACTGTTTTGCCAGACGACCTGGAATTTTGTTGCCAGAGCCGTCTGTTTTTGGTGCCAGACTGGCTCCATGAATGAATAAAACAGTATTTTTTTTTTCATACAGGGCTGAAGTCAGTCTGAATGCAGGCTTAAGTGAGCAAGACCTGCCCATGACTCAGCAGGAACCTAGTGTAATCGTGACGTTACCCATTTGTGGAGTTTTGATTTCAAGTTTGGTATTATGGCTTTCATTATGTTGGTTGTTTGCAGACAGTAGCAGTGATGTACGTACGCCCTGCTTTATGGTCTATTTTACTCTAAATGGGTCAATAATTTAGTAAATGAACATCATGCTGTATGGAAGAAGAGTGAAACTAGAGAATGAGACCATAAACTCATCAGGAAACTGTGTCAAGTATCAAGT